CGCTGTTGCTGTTGCTGTTTATGACGCGGAATGCATGCTGACTGACCATCGCAGACTTCGTTCGCTCGCCGACGGCACGATCCCTCACGCTATCTGCTCGAGAATCCACAAGCGAACCTCCAGAGCCACTCCTCTCTCTGATTACGTCGAATCACCCATGGCTTGGAAATGGTATCAACGGCTCCATCTCAGCCTACAACACCACCAAAGGCTACACCCCACGTCTGGTCCAGTACGGTGCTGAGCTCATCGAGCGCAACATTGGATCGCCCATGGTCAACACTGTGACATCTGTAGGTAGGCGGACGGGCATGGAGAAAAGCCTGCGCCGCTATCTGGGAGACAGACGACCCAGCGACCTCGAGCAGGGAGATGGCGAGAGTTCAAGGAGCAAGAGGCAAAGGATCGCGAGCCCAGCAGATGACGCCATGGACGTGGATGATGCTCTTGCAGCAGCGTCACGAACAAGAGGCGGCTCACAATCCTCATACTCCGAGTCGCTCCCTGCATACGACGACCAGCGCTCTCCAAACTATGAAGAGGCAGTCATCTCTGGAGAAATCACGTCGCACAAGTCGCCCGAACAGCGCTCAAATACTCCGCAGGATCGTCGCGTCAACTGGTCCACGCAGCTCATCATGACAACGTCCGGTCTCGGTGTAGCTCTATCAGAGACATCATTGCGGTCGTTGAAGCTCTGTCTCGGTCTTCTTCGCAGCGCAACAACCCACATCGACTCCGTTATGCGCGCGCTCAAGCTCGTCCTCGAAGAATACGAAGCTGCCCTCCGCAACCAGAGGCAGTCTGGCGGCTTTGCTGCCCAAGATGACAAGACGCAACTCAATGGCACCATGGCGCAAATGGGCCTTGTCGACACGGACAAAGACGATCAAGTCCGCCAAATTGCTGACCGCATCAAGGTCCTCTCATCAGACATTTGGCAAACCCTCCAATCCGTCGTGCAGTCCGTGTCCCGCTATACCGGCGGCGCCCTCCCGCAGAACGCCCAGACGGTTGTTCGAACACAATTGCTCTCCGTACCCCAGCGATGGCAGCTCGCCGGCCGCAACGCGAACAATGAACACGCGGGCGGCGATGAGGTCAGAGGCGCAAACCGCATGCTGGCATTTGCAAAAGAGGGACTGGATATGATGGGCCAGATTACTACTGTCGTTGACGGTACCGTACAAAGTGCCGAGAGCTGGCTTGCGCGGATTGGTAGGAGGCCACAGGGCGAGTCGAGCAGCAGCGGTCAGGCACAGGAGCAGAGGGAGAAGACACCGCTTGCGCTTGAGGCGGGGGTGCAAATGGGTGAGAAGAGGTAGGTAGAGGATGGCTTGTTTAGCTCTCTATTTGCAGAGTGAACGGAAGAAAAGACGAAGACACATGAATTGGAATGGAAGAGGAGAGGAACTGCTTTGGCACTACGATTACTACTACAACACCATACCCAAACATAATTTCCTATGTCGATTCCTTTTCTTTGGAAAACGTTCAGCAAGGCGTCATGATTGGAAGAGAAACGGGGTTGTTGTGTGTGTGAGGGTTTTGGTCTTTCGTTTGCAATGTCCACGACGTTTTCTTCATTTAAAGCGAGAACGAAAATCTGTATTACTCAATGTTATATTATTCATACCTACCTTTAGCAACTGTGATGTGTTTGTGACGTTGGGTGTGATCACGATACTGGGTGGTGATGACCTGCTGGTTTTTGACCCTGTAAACATCTACCATAAGTACTACGAATAATACAAGGGTTAGTTCGTTACACGTAGCTTTAAGCAGGAGGGTGATTACCGTTATTGGCGTTGTTGCGATCTGGTGTCGTAGTAGCTGTGCCCAAGTTTCCAAGCAAAGGTATAGAATGCCAGACTGATACGTACGTGGAAGCTTACTTCTCTCTTCCCAAACCTGCCCATATATATCACTTTAGGATAAAAGGAAAAACTGTCTCCGGCACATTTTACCATGCAAGCATCATGTTAGTGTATACGTAATTGCATGAGGGGTTAAATAGCACCCGCACCTCGTATTCGTCACCGCGAAGTACGACCGAGTGATACGACAAAACGCGGCAGTGGGTTACGGCCGTAGTGCTTGTGCGCTGGTATCGAGCCGGGCATCGTGCCGATGAATCTGAGACATGAAGGAGATGGGTTCTGTGGGTGATGCAGAGAACGTATGTACTGTAGTTTAGAGTGAGGTCTAGATATACAGTCATGGAAGGACGCATCGGGGATGGCGTATCGTTTGAGAAAGAATGCAGAGTTGTATGTGGGATGAAGTTTAGATCATCGGACTTGTTACCCAATGTTGCGATCACTGAATAGCAACGAGTAAATGAAAGTGGGTAGAATTGGGAAGTGAAGTTGATCCATTCTATTGAAACCAAATGCTCAGATGTCGACAAGAGTGACCATTTCTCAAACAGAGGCGAACTTGACCGATGCTTATACGATACAACCCATCGTGGCCGCAATGGACCATCTTCGTTCTACTCTATTTCGTTATGTCCAAAACGGAAATAGTTGAATTTTCGGTGGCTTACCAGGATGGGTTCTTCGTCAACTACTTCTAGCTATTTTCCGTCATGTGAGGTCGTAGTATTGGAGTTGTCAGTGTTTGACGTCGAGTTACTGGACGTAGTGGAGTTGCCAGACGTATTGGACGCTGTGGACGTCTCCGGTTGATGAGAAGGCTGCTTTGTCTTTATTTGGCCAGACGACGGTGCGCTGGAGACTTGGAAAGGAGTGAAGCGGATAGGTGGGAAAGACATTTTGATGATTATGTCAAGGGTTTATAGAAGTCGATGATTATATTTTCAGTGCTCTTGCAACGATGGAGTTGACGACAGATTGTGAATTTGATAGAACCTAGCTGAAGTCGCCATCAACACTGGCTTATATGTGAAGTGGTCCGTAGCTACTGTTTCCCGGAATAGCTCATCGTCGCGAGCAAGACGAGCAACGCGATACGCACATGCGATGCTTTGGACTCACCGGCGGTGAGTCCGCTGAGCCCCCTGGCGTAAGCTCCTGGAAGCTGCTCATAATGAGTCTGCCTTGACCGTGGCTTACCTCTTGAACAGAGAGCCAATTGCAGTATGAATTGTCAGAGTACTCAAGAAGCCTTCACATGACTTCGCGTCGTGTTGCTCGCGATGGGATGACACATGACGTAGTACAGCTTGGCTTCTCGTGTCGGTTGTTCAGGCGCTGTGTGATCACTGGCTACAGCCATACCTGTAGGCTCCAAGCTGAAACTAAGAGTGGTGAAGTAGTGCTGTTTGTTCGTGTTAGTCAGAGACATTACGCGCCATGCAGATGCAGTTTCAGTTCTACTGCAAGCCGCGATGCTGTGATACTAATATTAGTGTTAGATCGAATTTGATGTGTGAATCTTCTCCAATCTGTCTGCAGTGTTGCGGTAGCAGTAGTCTGAATAGTACCTGATCTTGCAGGCGATATCTTTACCTCAAAGTGGGCTCGAGGTTGGACTGGACATCCAATGCTAATAGCGGAAAGAAAGGTGTTTTTGTATGTCGTTCGCGGCAGTGACGCCTTTCTTGTACATGTAATAGTGTTGGCCTACACCTGGGCCCTACGATCAGTTGATGTGAGACTACATGGCGATATGTGGGGACTGCGATAATATCACGCTGCAACTACCGGGTATCTACCGATGCTCGAGTATATCGTGTGTCGATCGCAAGAGCAACGGGTGCTAAAATTAGTCGGTGCGGCTGAAGACCAAAGCTCGAAGCCAGAAAAAGCGTCAATAAAGAAGATGATTTCTGATCAGATAAGAACAAGGTCGATGAGTCGACATGAGTCGCGATATGCAGTGCAACCATGGCGAAGCCCTTGCTGCAGATCAGGGCGTTGAGATGTACCGAAGACTCGTGTGTGAGTCTAGAATGAGCGAGAATGAGTCGCGAATAAAGGGCGCGGTCGGGTTGCCGAAGACAGATGCCGGATGTCTGCAGCAGAACACCAATCTCCAGACGGGCTAATGTGCGTCTTCAGCGTGTCCTAAAGTCGGTATTGGAACGTCTAAACTATGGGGAATCCGACGACACGAAAGATGGTCAACTCCTTTACCGCTTGTATAGCTAAGTCCGACGGGCGAGGCTTCTTTTGCTCCAGAGCGGGGTGGTAGCTGGAAAGGGCTGATGCAGGTTGTCGGGCCGTTGGCGTCGAAGCAGCGGCGGAATCAACATGACTCGATGCCAAGCCGGTGAAGTTGCTGGCTGACAAACGCGAGGTGGACGCGGGTGGAGCCAAAAGCATGCACGCAATCACACCCAGCGGAGACAAGCGACTCCACGAGATTGTTCCCGTTTGATCCTCCTCAACAACAGCATGCCGGCGCCCATTGTCAACATGTCTGCAGGCTCTGTGTTGGGTGCCTCACTTGCAGAAGCACCGCAGTCGACGTCAGAGGCTTGCACGGAGCTATCCTCGGACTGACGTGCTGAGCCGCATAGTGTTTGTAGCCTTGCCCAGGGATCTCATCGTCATGTCTGGCGGAATCTAGCCGACGTGCATAGAATGTGACTGTACTGTCGATCATGGTGCGACGGAGTGACTCGATTGCGCATTTGATACGCCGTCTCCGTGCGAAGCTGTCCGCTGAAGAATGCGCGCGCGTCAAACTCTCTCACCGTCGTGCTCCTGCGGATTGATAGTTGCGACAATAAGAGATCTGCCTAGCCGCACGCGGTGCAGCTCCTTAGGATTGCCCACCGTCTTTAACCCTTTCCGATCTCGAGACCCACTCGGTGCTCTTATCTCCGTCGTGTACTGCTTTCTTATTTTATTTAGCCGTTGCGACAGCCCTCGCGCCCTTTGCTGTGCTCCTGTTTTGTTTTTCGAGATATCCATACGTTCCTTATAATTCGCTTCTTTGCCGTGCCTGCAGCTGAGTGAGACATCGCCGCTGCCTGTACCGGTTCGCTACCGCTTAATTCAACCCAGGGTGCGCCCTGTACCGCCGCCGCCATGGACAACGCCAGCGTACAACATACGCAGATCCAAGAGCACACCGAGGGCACCACTTTTGAGGCTATTCATCCCAATCGCAACCACCTAAACCGCGACGACGCCAGTATAAGGACTGCTTCCGTCACCGACAGCACTGCGCGCAACTCGGCGAACAATGAAAAGGGTTTCAGCAATGTCACGGGTGGAGTCAACATTCAACGTGCCGAGGCCGACTTTGCGGAACTCTCAAAGGAACTCTCGCGTACCAGCAACATCTCGCGCCGATTGAGTCGCGTACAGAGCAAGCAGAGTCGCAAAGACCAGGCCATCACAGACGTAGAGAAGGCTACTGTTGAAGGCTCAGACTCGTCCGATGAGCCCTTCGATCTCGAGGCAACCCTACGCGGTGGTAAAGATGAGGAAGAGGCAGCGGGCATCAAGTCGAAGCGCATTGGCGTTGTGTGGGACGGTCTCACCGTCAGCGGAATTGGTACGACTACTCGGTGCACGCCTCACGCAAAACATACGCTAACTCTCGCACAGGTGGTGTGAAGAACTATGTCAAGACCTTCCCCGACGCGTTCGTATCTTTTTTCAACGTCTTCGAAACCGCTGCCAGCATTCTCGGCCTTGGCAAGAAGGGCAAGGAGTTCGACATTCTGAAGGACTTCAAGGGTGTCGTCAAGCCTGGTGAGATGGTGCTCGTGCTGGGAAAGCCCGGCAGTGGTTGTACCACGTTCCTCAAGGTCATCAGCAACCAGCGATACGGATACACCAAGGTCGACGGAAACGTTCTGTACGGTCCATTCGACGCCGACTTCTTCGAGAAGAGATACAGAGGAGAGGCAGTCTACTGTGAGGAGGACGAGAACCACCACCCCACGCTCACAGTCGGACAAACACTCGACTTCGCGCTCGAGACCAAGGTCCCGGGAAAGCGCCCTGCCGGACTCTCAAGACAAGATTTCAAGGAGAAGGTCATCGACCTCATGCTCAAGATGTTCAATATTGAACACACCCGCAACACCATCGTCGGCAACCCCTTCGTCCGAGGTGTCAGTGGAGGAGAGAGGAAGCGAGTCTCCATCGCCGAAACCATGATTACTGGTGCTTCCCTGATGAGCTGGGACAACTCGACAAGAGGATTAGATGCTTCGACTGCTGTCGATTATGCCCGTTCGCTTAGAGTGCTAACGAACATCTACAAGACGACAACCTTCGTGTCTCTCTACCAGGCTTCCGAGAACATCTACAAGTGCTTCGACAAGGTCATGGTCATCGACAGCGGTCGACAAGTTTACTTTGGACCTGCTCAGGAAGCCCGCGCCTACTTTGAGGGTCTCGGGTTCAAGGAGAAGCCCCGCCAAACCACCCCTGACTATCTCACTGGTTGCACCGATCCTTTCGAGCGCGAGTTCAAGCCCGGTATGAGTGAAAAGGACGTTCCTTCAACACCCGAAGCCCTCGCCGAAGCTTTCAATCGATCCGAATCTGCGGCTAGGCTCGATGCTGAGATGGTAGCATACAAGGCCCAGATGGATCAGGAGAAGCATGTCTATGACGACTTCCAGTTGGCTGTCAAGGAGTCCAAACGCCACGCACCGCAGAAGTCTGTCTACTCGATTCCGTTTTATCTCCAGGTCTGGGCTTTGGCGAAGCGTCAGTTCTTGCTCAAATGGCAGGACAAGTTTGCCCTCGTTGTTTCTTGGATCACCTCTATTTCTATCGCTATCATTACTGGTACCGTCTGGCTCAACCTCCCTGACACCTCTGAAGGCGCCTTCACTCGTGGCGGTGTTCTCTTCATTGCTCTCCTCTTCAACGCTTTCCAGGCTTTCTCCGAATTGGCATCCACCATGTTAGGCAGACCGATCATCAACAAACATCGCGCTTTCACTTTCCATCGACCATCAGCCCTTTGGATAGCCCAGATTGGAGTCGATCTCTTGTTTGCATCTGTGCAGATTCTGGTCTTCTCCATCATCGTGTACTTCATGACGAACCTGGTGCGCGACGCTGGAGCCTTTTTCACATTCGCTCTGGTCATCATCACTGGTTACCTTGCCATGACATTGTTCTTCCGAACAGTGGGATGTCTCTGCCCCGATTTCGACGTCGCGATCCGTCTGGCTGCTACGATCATAACATTGTTCGTACTCACCTCTGGCTATCTCATTCAATGGCAGTCCGAACAAGTCTGGCTCCGATGGATTTTCTACATCAATGCCCTGGGACTGGGTTTCTCCGCGCTGATGATGAACGAGTTCAGTCGTCTTGACTTGACCTGTGCCGGCAGCTCTTTGATTCCTGCTGGGCCTGGGTACGATGACCTCAACGCCCAGGTTTGTACTCTACCTGGCAGTGAGGCTGGTAACCCCATCGTTTCTGGCACCAACTACATCAAGACCAACTTCCAATGGGATCCTTCAGACCTCTGGATGCACTACGGTATCATGGTTGCTCTCATTGTCGGATTCCTTCTCGCCAACGCCTTCCTCGGCGAATTCGTCAAGTGGGGTGCTGGTGGCCGTACAGTCACCTTCTTCGTGAAAGAGAACAAGGAACTCAAGGAGCTAAACGCCAAGTTGCAAGAGAAGCGTGACAAGCGTAACCGCAAGGAAGACAGCAGCGACCAGAACTCGGATCTTAACATTGCCTCCAAAGCTGTCCTCACATGGGAAGACCTTTGCTACGACGTACCTGTCCCCAGCGGAGAGCTCCGCCTGCTCAACAACATTTACGGATACGTCAAGCCCGGACAGCTGACAGCGCTCATGGGTGCCTCGGGTGCTGGAAAGACCACACTTCTCGATGTGCTGGCCAACCGCAAGAACATTGGTGTTATTAGTGGTGACAAGCTAGTCGATGGTAAGGTTCCTGGTATCGCGTTCCAGCGTGGAACTGCCTACGCCGAACAACTTGATGTCCACGAACCTGCTACAACCGTCCGTGAGGCACTCCGCTTCTCCGCCGACCTGCGACAGCCGTATGAGACACCCCAAGCCGAGAAGTATGCCTATGTTGAGGAGGTCATCGCCTTGTTGGAAATGGAAGACATCGCAGACGCCATCATTGGAGACCCCGAGAGTGGTCTAGCCGTCGAACAACGCAAGCGTGTTACCATAGGTGTCGAACTCGCTGCCAAGCCTGAGCTCCTCCTGTTCCTGGACGAGCCTACTTCTGGTCTCGACTCGCAGAGTGCTTTCAACATCGTCCGTTTCCTTCGCAAACTTGCTGCCGCTGGCCAAGCCATTCTGTGCACCATCCATCAGCCCAACTCTGCTCTTTTCGAAAACTTCGACCGATTGCTCCTTCTCCAAAGGGGTGGCCAATGTGTTTACTTCGGTGACATCGGCAAGGATGCCCATGTTCTCCTCGACTACTTCCATCGCCATGGTGCTGACTGCCCTCCGGATGCCAACCCTGCTGAGTGGATGCTAGATGCCGTCGGTGCTGGTTCAGCTCCTCGCATTGGTGACCGCGATTGGGCTGATGTATGGAGGGATTCTGAGGAATTCGCTGAAGTCAAGCGCCACATTGGTCAGGTCAAGGAAGAGCGCATGGCTGCTGTTGGTTCTGCCGAGCCAGTCGAGCAAAAGGAGTTCGCTACACCGATGTCTTACCAGATTAAGCAAGTTGTCAGACGCCAAAACTTGTCTTTCTGGCGCACTCCTAACTACGGCTTCACTCGCCTCTTCAACCACGTCATCATCGCTTTGCTCACAGGTCTCATGTACCTTCAGCTGGACGACTCCCGAGCATCCCTGCAATACCGCGTGTTCATTATCTTCCAGGTCACGGTTCTGCCAGCCCTCATTCTCGCTCAAGTTGAACCCAAGTACGCTGTCCAGCGTATGATCTCTTTCCGTGAGCAGATGTCCAAGGCGTACAAGACGTTCCCATTCGCCTTGTCTATGGTTCTTGCCGAGATGCCATACAGTGTGCTTTGCGCCGTTTTCTTCTTCCTTCCTCTTTACTATATCCCGGGCTTGAACTCTGATAGCTCGCGCGCCGGATATCAGTTCCTGATTGTACTCATCACTGAGGTCTTCTCCGTCACTCTGGCTCAGGCGATTGCTGCGTTGACACCAACCCCCTTCATCGCGTCCTATGTCAACCCTTTCATCATCGTAAGTCAACATCAATGCCCTCTTGAAGCATAAGCTAATTTTATTTTCAGATCATCTTCGCTCTCTTCTGCGGTGTCACCATCCCCAAGCCCTCAATCCCCAAATTCTGGCGTGTATGGCTCTATGAGCTGAACCCTTTCACACGCCTCATCGGCGGCATGATTGTTACAGAACTTCATGACCTCAAAGTCGAATGTACATCTGGCGAGTACAACCAGTTCAGCGCCCCACAAGGTCAGGAATGTGGAACGTACATGAGCGACTTCTTCTCCAGCGGTGCGCCTGGATACCTCCTCGACAACGCCACCGACGTCTGCAATTACTGCGCCTACAAGGTCGGCGACGAGTTCTACCGACCTCTTGGCTACGAGTTCAGCAACAGATGGAGAGACTTGGGTATTTTCGCTGCTTTCATTGCCAGTAACTTGGTAATTCTTTTCGTCGCCGCGAAGTACCTCAACTTCAACCGCAGATAAGCGGCCTGCTGATGGCTCGACATATGTCATCACTCAGTGAGTGACACAAGGGTACACGGCGCCCCATACCGCGTTCGGTGCTGCACGATCCACACCTCTGTGTGGAAGTGCGCGCCCGTTCTGCCTGGGAACTGCCGTACATAATCCCGCCGCAGCTGCGGCTGCATAAACGTCGTTCCGCATTTCAAAGTACTGTGCGTTTCTTGCGACATCGCATTGTCTCGTTCAAAAGTACATTCTAGACTTGCAGTTTGGATATCCCATTGGGCGGCGTTCGTTTCACTGACAGCACTGAGCTCGCATAGCCTCTTCACATATACATAATCCTAGTCTCATCAAATCATCACTGTACACTTATCGTTCAAAACATCGATGCTGCGTGAAGTCATGGTGCTGTGGTGCCACATCATGAATCAATCGTCTTTGTTGAACCTTTGGTGCGCGCCTGTCTCATATCATTGCTTCACGACTGCTTCTTCCAGTAGTCTCTTTGACAAATTGTCTCGCATTGTTCCGTGGTCGCCGCTTCTCTTCTAAACTCTTTCATGCTCTTCGCTAATTACCTTTGTCTTTGTACCCTCTTGCAGCTTACTGTGTAACTATATTGACATTCATTTTGCGTGCATCATCGCACTATCTTGTTATGGCACCAGCGGCGCAATACCGCGAGACATCACGCACTTTCACTATCACTGCGAAAGATACTGAACAGCCCACAACTAATGTAAAAGACACGCAGGACGACTGCAACAGCGCCTCGACGTTCAACTGGCCGTCTGCGATACCTAGTTTGAAGACCGGGCTTCGCTTTCCGATCCCGCAGATTCAGGGAATCATTCCTGGCATGCGTCGCACACTGCAGGCTGATTTCACTCCACGGTCACTCCCAAATTCACCCAGACCTTCATATGACGTAGCGCGACCGGAATCGTCAAAGGGCTCAACAACAACACCGACAAAGCCGATTGCAGATACACGGCCATCACCGCACCGCTCATCATACCCCCGCGCCTCACCTCCTGGTATCCTCTACCCAGACGCTATCGTACCGCATAGTGCGACACAGTACTCGAATCCGCTACAAGACCCAAACGCCATCACACACAACGAACTTCCCTATCACCCGAGCATAATGGGCCGTGTAGACTACGAACTGGCGTACCTGGCTCCGGGGTACAAGATACTGTTCGTCGGTACAATAGCAATTCTCACACTGGGTGTCATGTGGACGGTGATTACTTGCGCCATCAGTATGAGGACAAGGTCGAAAGCAGGGAGCGCAGAATGGAAAGGGAAGAAAAATGTCGGAAACAAGAAGGAGGAGAGGAGGCCGATTGACAAAGTGAGCAAGTACGCCCATCGACATGGAAGCCAAAGCGGGATCCCGATAGACAGGGACTTGGATTCTCCCATGGACAGTGACAGCGCTGTCACATCAGCGGCCCAGATTCCGTTCTCTTACCTAGGAGATAACGGGCAGGTCGTTGAGAGTATCGAGATGAAGTACAGACCACAACACACAACGTCCAATTACAACCGCCCAAGGAGTCGAGCAATGCGATCCGAATTCCAAGATCGCACATATACAACACACCGCCGTTTTTCGTCTTCGCCTTCAGCGGGCCCACGATTCGGTCTTACAATTACACCAACACTCTCTGTCCCTCCTTCACCGACTCCATCTACATCCGGCAGCACGTCGCCGATTAACCCTTTTCTCGACCCTCCTCCCAACGGTCTCCTCAGCCCTGATGTAAGCGCCACACTGGTAAAGCGAAGTTCGCTGGAATGGCAAGCCGAACGAGCCGCCTTCTTCGCTCCCACGACGCCAACTTCAGTTCCAGCGTCTGGATCAGTGTCTCCTGCGCTAAGCTATACCGCAGAGAACAGCAACGAGACGTTCGAGCTCAATCTCTCCGATATGGAGGCTTTGGAAGCTGGTACAGCACATTCCGGGTCTTCGACTCCTGGCAACAGAGGTAGCAGATTGGTCCGGAAGAGCAAGAGTTTTATTGATGAAGGTATCGGGATGATGGAAGGTGTTGTTGATGGCGTTGCTGCGAAAATAGCGAGGTGGACGGATGATGATGGTGGAGATGACGCTTTGTTGTTGCCCGTTGCGCGAGGGAAGTGAACGAGTGCGCTGCAGTCTGGTTGTTATATGAACGAAAGATGACAAAATGTCAAGGCGATGTAGACTTCTAGGTTCTTCTTGACTGTGCAATTTGTACTTATTTGATTAACAGGTTAGGGTGAACATGCACTGGTAAATCAAAATGCACGATATCAGTACTTGAGCAGCTGAACGGTGAGTCATGTAAAGGACGGATTTGAATTACAGCCGCGCGAGCGCGGTGTCTCGGAGCAAATGGTATCATCCAAGCAAGCCCCTCTCCTGGAACGCCAATAGTAATGCCTCGTACGCTCTCTCATAAATAGCTCAAATGTCAAAGTCCTTCCTAAGGATCTCTTGCACTTCGAGATCCATCTTCTTCTCAATCAAGTGGGCGGCCACGAGATTGCCGACCTTGCTGACGAGCTGCTCTCGGACGTCGTCAAGGTCTGGTGCTGTGTATGTTCCCTCGTGTTGCTCCCTCTGTTTCCGCTCTCTCATGCTCTTGGGTACCAGGGCGGGGAAGGAGCCCACGAGTACTGCAAGCAATATCTCAGTGTCGTGCCTCGTGCTCTCGTCGGCGAGCTTTTTAGAGAGGAAGTCATCGTTGTACATCTTAATGTTCGGTAGGATGAGTCCTCTCAGTGCGTCACCGGCGCCTAGGACGAGGAGCAACGCTTGTAGAGCGCCAAAGTGTGTTCCGACTGATTTGTCGGGATCCATAAACTGCTTCAGGCAGGTGCGTGCGATTCGTGCCTTGAGGCCTTGGTTCGACGACGCGTGCTTCCGGCAAATGTCTTTGAGGAGGTGGGCTGCAAGCGTTCGCAGGTAGAATGCATCTTGGGTAGCGCGGTTGTGGTCGGGCATGGTTCCGTTCAGCGTCTCTGAGGAGGCGTTGGATGGCGCAGGGTTTGCTGGTCCTACCTTGCCGCCTGTGCAGCACGTCAGGATGGGCGGTACCATGTATGCCACGTAGGGATCGAGGTAGATGGCCTGGTTCTTCAACAGCGCCTCTGCGGCACGCATCATCTGTGTCAAGATGAACAGGTTCTTCATATTGTGTGTAACCTTTTCGGCTATGAAGCTAAGGAGGTAGGTCGTCAGCTGGTGAATGCCCGGCTCCGTCGAGATGGCAGCAAGTGCCGCGTTCTGCCATTCGATGTTCGTCTCGTCGATGAGGGCGCCCGACAGCTTGTTGAAAAGCTCTTGCGATTCTTTGGATAGCACGTGTTTGACGAGCGGTTTGACGTTGACGTTGTCCAGGCCGTTAGCCGCGGCCAAGTGAGGGTTCGCGTTGGGTCCCTTGGGCAGGAGATCGCCGGTGTTGGTGTTGGGGTTCTGAGGTATCGAAGGCTGGACTCCTTCGACGGCGAGCCAGTGTGCCGTGAAGGTGATTTCCCGTGGCACCTTGGGCAGTGGGGCATTGATGAGCTTCTCGAAATCGACCTCCTCGTCTTCGACATAGTACAAGGGCTGGCCGGGCCCCAGCGAAGCCTCACCGAAGCGCAGCGGCCGGGTAGACTCGTAGCCGTAGAGGGGCTCCACATTCAACACCTTGAGGGCATTGGATATATCCTGTGTGCTCAGGGTGGTCCGCTTCCCGTGTCGCATGAACTTGAGGGCCTCCTCTAGCACCTGTGCCAAGCGGAAGTCGACGTCGCGTGCCAGCTCTTCGACCACATTGTCGGCAAGTGAGGCGATACCCACCGATTCGGCCACGTCGCGTACATTGTCGGGGTTCCAGACCGAAGACATGCTGGCGGGGCGCAGTGCGATGTGTGAGGGCTGGGGTGGAACTGGTGGGGCTGTCGGGTGCGGGCGCGCTGCGTCTAATGAAGCGGAAGGGGTGAAGAGAGCCGATGGGCGGGCGGCGAGGGTATCACCAGCCGGGTGACGCAGGGACGGACGATGTGATTGCTAGCCCTACGACCCAGTGAAGCACATGTCGGACGGGCGCATGCGACGGTAGTGGACAGCGCCGTGGAGCAGCCGAGACGGTCGCTTCTGGATTGGGAGTGCGTCTCGAATAGGCGATTCTAGGCGACTGGCGGGAGTGCGAGGCTGGGGGGGATTGGCGTAGAGTGAGTCTGCCTGAAAGGAAGTCGCGATGCTCCAGGGCTCGCGTTGGCCTTGGCGCGCCGTCACGTCCGAGCGCGCCGGCCTTTGTTGTCTGTGACTCGTCTCACCCTCACCACTTCACCTGTCCGAACTTCGCAGGCTTTCACACCGATTGACATCCTCGCCAAAGCTGCATCTATCCATTTCAACAACTCTATATCATGACTCAAAAGTGAGGCTATGTCGACTGGTCAGCCGTTTGCTTCACTTGAGTATAGACAAACATCGTCTGCCATCACCTACTGATCGTCCCAAGTCCTAGCACGGGAATGCGTGCAGCTCGACAAGCCAATCAAAGACTTTAGCAGCTGGGTGCGAGGCGTCTAGTCATGCCCACGAACGAATGAAGTATTCGTGTATCCATCTTGACATCATGGCTTCGTAGACCGCCATTTCAGAATCCTACAGTTGGAGGCAAAGCAATCTTCCCAGGCACCTTGCACAAGGGGATGTGCGGCTGCGGAGCATCTTCCCCGCCGCTTACTTAGTTGCAAGCAGTACTCAACCCTGGCAGTCACACAATCGGTCGACTGTCGCTCGCCGTGCTCTCACCCGTCGACACGTTGTTTACCGCCGTTGAAGATGGCATCTTCTACACCCCAGATCAAGCTTTCTCCCGCCCGGGGAAGACTCTTATTCGCCGCTTGTACACCCTGTCTGCCAAACCAGCATCCCATTCCAGCATAACACTTTAGACTTAGTCCTTCCTGACGCCACCCGTCTATCCGCGCGGACGGGCCGCTGCGATTCTGATTGCCTTTGCCTGGCT